GCCTATAGTCAGGAGGCTGGCTCATCATGACCTAGAGCCAGAATCCTAGAGCCGGGAGACCCGAAGGTCTACATCTCTCCTGAAAAACAAACCGACTTGCTCTGTGGTCTAGTTATCCCAGCTTGCTGCGGACTCTTCCCAAATGGCTCAATTCCCAAATAACAAAGACTATTACCATGGCCAGCGTGCGGTGAGAATGGGACTTGCTTACTCTGATTGGCATTGCTATAGAATTTGCCCCAGAACATTGTCAAGTCAGGGTTCAAATATAGGTCTAAGACTCCAAGGCCAGCGTAACAATCAAACTACACAGGCTGTCTGTGTGTGTGTGTGTGTGTGTGTGTGTGTGTGTGTGTGTGTGTGTGACTATAGATGAACCCAGGGCCTTCCATATTGCTAGGTAAGCAGTCTATACCAACACAGGCTTCATTAAGATATTGTTCAATTCCTTAATATGGCTTTCAAAGCCCTACAAAATCTCAAACTTTATAACCCACCCATTCTAATACTAAAGGGTTGCCAATTTCTGCAGTGTAAATACTACACCATGACTGATTTCAACCAGCTCACCAAATGCTGGGTTTGGTTTGATTTGGTTTTTAAAGAGGTTTATTTTATATTTGTGTGTGTGTGTGTGTGTGTGTGTGTGTGTGTGTGTGTGTGTGTGTGTTTATGCACACACATGAGTACGGGTGCCCTCAGAGGCCAAAAGAGAGCATTGCTCCTCTGAAGCTGGAGTCACAGACCTGTAAGCCTCCTAGTGTGGATGCTGGGAATCAAACACAGGTCCTCTGCCAGAACAATTCACACTCTGAACCACTGTGCCCCTCACAGAATTCTTCCAAGTCCAACCATCAGACCTTGTAGTATGGTAGAGGAGCTTCTGGGGACAGCCCCATGTCCCACGCCACAGTGCTCACTGAACTAACCCCATGCTGTGCACTTCTCACCAAGGCCCATCAGGCATTTGCACGTGCTCTTCTCCCCTGTCAAAAGAGCTCCTATCCATGCACGGGCTCCTTGTCTGGTGGTCTTCCTTCGACAAGCCCGAGTGCTGGTTTCCAGAACAGCCATACTTCCTGTGTCACAGTAATGGTGACACAGCATTTGAACTTGTCATTTCCTTATCTGTATATCTTCCACCATGTTTCAAACTCTATCAAGGCAACATCCTTACTCATCTTATTTATTCTTGCATGTAGAGGCCTGTCCTATTGCTGAGCAGTAACAACAATACATGCCAACATGCATGAACAATAGGCACCAGCCGTTTTTCTGAGCTGAATGCACATGACGTTTTTCAAACAATGCAGAAGGCTGGCTTCTTTACTGTTCTGTTCATTTTGCAAGCGGGACATGGAGGCAATGAGAGGGTGAACACATTCCCTCAGGCTCAGCACTGAGTGTCAGAGCCAGGATCAACTCAAGCAGTGTGACTACAGGGCCCGTGTGCATGCTTCCGAAAAGCAGGGTTTCATGCCATTTTTATTTATTTTTCAATAATGATCCTCAAGGAGAAAATTTTAATTAAATTTAAATTCTCCCTAATGAAAGAAGTCAAGCACTACAAAATGCAGTTCGTTAGGGTAGGGTTGAGCTTTGGAGGGATTTATCATCTCCCCAGATCCAATTTGGGCCCTCTGGGGGGCAATAGAATTCTATTGAAAATGTATGTGCTGGCTTTTTCCCTCTGCAGTTCTGATTATGAGCCATATGTTTGTCCTTAAAAAACACATGGTCTTGTTTTATAGTTTTAATGATCTCTTCCTGTGAGGATTACTCTATGCCTTGCTTTCTTTTCCCTTTATAAGGTGTCTTATGACAACATAGCCATGTTGAAATGCTCATGTTTTAACTGCTATACGCCATTTAAATCATATCCATATACCTGACTTTATTAATAACCACGATTGAGTATCAGAAACTTTGAACTTTTTGGTGTGACTATCTTTTTACACTCTTCCTTGGTCTCATGTGTTTAGACACCAGTATGAGTGCAAAGGTACCCAACTTTAATAAATACTGCCTCATCAGTATTTATTAATACTGATTAATACCCACCCCCCTTAAGTCACTGTACCAATTTAACCTGACAGAAAGTTTTCAAGAGTATCCACTTCCCTAGGTGTTTATATTAAATAGGATCCATTTCTACTTTAGATAGTGATGAACATTTTGATGAGTCAGTTCAAAGCATTTATATTACTCACTGACCCATAGTAGTTTACATAACAGGGAAGATGGTGTGTAAATCAACGCTAGTGGGAATGCTGACAGATGACAGTGATAGATGCTGAAATGCCTGAACTAGGGCCTAATTCACTTCACCAAAAAAGGCCAAGAATAGACACTCTCAGGAACAGCTGCCTTGAGCTTTGAAATGGTAACACACAGTCACACAAACTAAATCTCTTGATCCATACTCTAAGTCCCTATAGTACCAAAACTCTACAGGGGTTCAAAGAAGCAAGACACCCAAGTAATCAAGTGTGGAAACCCTGATGGCCCAGCTAACAAAACAGAAATGACATGATGGAAATGAAACTAAGCTTCAAACATCCCCAAAATCCCCTGAAAGATTTAAAGAACAGCAAGGACTTTATTCATAGTGAAAAACGCCCAAGTTAACCTATAGCAGTGGTTCCCAACCTTCCTGATGCAGAACAGTTGTTTATATTATGAAGAGTGTCTTTGCCAAGGAGCCTTCTGATTGGTTTAATAAAGAGCTGAATGGCCAATAACTAGGCAGGAAGAGGTTAGGCGGAACTTCCAGGTACCAGAGGACTCTGGGAAGAAGAAAGGTGTTGACACCAAGAAGACACAGAGGGAGTTGGACATACAAAATGAAAGAAAGGTAAAAAGTCACATGGCAAAAGGCAGATTAATAGAAGCAGGTTAATTTAAGGTATAAGAGCTAGTGAGACAAGTCTAAGCTAAAGCCGAGCTTTTATAATTAAAAGTAAGTCTCTGTATCATTATTTGGGGGTTGGCAATCCAAAGACAGTCCCACAAGAAAGACTCAGACACGTTACACCTTCCTAACGCTGCGACCCTTTAATACAGTTCCTCATGTTGTGACCCCAACCATAAAATTTTCATTGCTACTTGATAACTGTAATTTTGCTACTGTTATGAATCATAATGTAAGTATCTGTGTTTTCCGATGGTCTGAGGTGACCCCTGTGAAAAGGTCCTTCAACTCCCCCCAAGGGGTCACAACCCACAGGTTGAGAACTGCTGATCTACAGGAAATGAAGAATGACCCTTCTTCTCCCTCCCTCTTTATTGACTCTTTCTAAAAAAAAAAAAAAAAAAAAAAAAAAAAAAAAAAAAAAAAAAAAAAAAAAAAAAAAAAAAAGATATCCTTATTTTAAATATGCACAAAATATAATAGCCTTCTAAATGAGACAGGAAAAAAAAGATAAAACAACATCTTGTGTCATCAAGATTTAAATTTCAATCAATGTGGCTGGTCCTCAGGGAACCCTTATATTATACACTGTGTGTGTGTGTGTGTGTGTGTGTGTGTGAGAGAGAGAGAGAGAGAGAGAGAGAGAGAGAGAGAGAGAGAGAGAGAGAGAGAGAGAGAGAGAGAGAGAGACATGGAAGTAAAAGCAGGACTGTGAGGGAGGGGAGAGGAGCCTACAGAGAGGGGGAGGGGCAGCGGGACTGTATGACAAGGGAAGAAAGACTCAGGTTCCCTCATATACAGAAGCTAGATTTAAAAGCTATGCCCCTGTGGTGGTTTGAGTAAGAATGTCTCCCATAGGCTCGTGTTTAGAAGAGGCCACGCATGCTGCTTTTCCATGACATTGATGGACTCTTAGACATTTGAACCAGAAGCCCAAATAAACACTCCGTTCTCGAAGTTGCCTTGTTCATACTGTTTTAAACAGCAACAAAAAGTAACAAATCAGTCCGTATATGTGACATGGAAACAGAACAGGGCATCTGGATGGGGTGGGAGGAGACCAGTAACAGGGACAGAGGCAGAAGAAGAGACATCAGAGAAAATGAGCAAAGTACAATGATACATATTGTAAAAATGTCATAATGAAACCCTGTATTTTGTGCACTAACTATAAGCATTTAAAATGCCTCTTACTCAAAGGTACCTATTTTTTCTTAAACCTTTGCCTAAAATCGACTCATAAATGAGAAGCCACAGTGGACACAGACGAGTCACGACAAATGGAGAACAAATGGGAAACCATACTGCTCTTGAGTGCTTTACACACGAGCTACTGTTTTATCCACTGAAATGCTGGTGAAGGATAATAACGTTTGGAGTTTGAAGCTGGGGCAGGCAGGGAAGCACCGGTCCAAGGCACAGGGAGATGAACCAAGGCCTAGTGAGTCCACATCTGTTTCCCTTCCATTGAATCACACTGCCTGCAGAGACTAAAGCGCAGTGTATACTCAAAGCAGCAGGTTACACCAAAATCTAAACAAAGAAGACGCCCTTGTACAATTTCTGCTCCCCATGTACAGCCAAAGCACTTCACAGGACTACTGCTCAGAAGTTTCTAGAACTCCATTTTGTTTTCAAATTTCCCAGAATGGGCCAAGGCAAAATAATAATTACAGGAAAAGAACAATGAAGCAGCCTTGGAGGGCTTACTATAAGATTAGATCAAACTGAGAAATATTTCTACCACCACCCTCCCCACAAAAGAAAGCAGAAATAAGAGAAGCATAATTTACTTCTGACTTTATCTAGATTTGGAGTTTAATGACAATATCAACAGTTGGGCATCCTCATCCTGAGTGTGGTAAACCTGTCCCCGCCCCTCCCCATGGACAGAGGCCAGTTCATTCTTCCAGCTGCTTCCTCAACCACACAGCATCTCTCCAAAGCACCCCATCTAAGTACCCACCAAGTGACAATGAGAGGTGGGTTTGACCCAGAGTAAGGCATACTTCCTTAAAACTCAGTTTAACTATTGCACAAAGCTATGATTAACAACAACAACAAAAATCTACCCAGTCACATCACTTACCTGGAGCTGTGAAATTACAGGGCTGGAAGTAGAGGCAGCCGCCATGACAGCGCTGTAGTCTGGAGTAATGAAATGGCCCCAGCACTGTAATGCCAGGTACAAGAGACAATGCTTGGGTTGGCCGATCAGATCTCGGTCATGCTAGGAGGAACTGTAAGCCTGCAAAAAACATAAGGAAGCCCAGAATGAGTAGGAGGGGACTTACATGGGCCAGGGAAGAGTCACCGGCTAGATCTAGAGGCAAAAATCCCTCCCGAGAACCATTAGCTGAATGAACACAGGGGCCTGCTGAGGTAGACCTACCATCAAAAGCCATGACTCCCTTGCCACCTGCTCACACTAGATGCTCTGGGGAGACAGCAACAAGTTGGGGACACAGGAAGATTGCACCAAGAGGAGAAGCCACCTTGTCATTAAATAATGCTTTCTTAAACCCTACATTTGAGATCTGACCATCTATATACAAAGGGTGAAGAGAAGCTCCACCACCAGGCAGCTAGAAGAGAACTACAGTTGAGCCTTAGCCCTCCCTACCCTTTTGTGGAAACAAAACCAAAAGCAACCCTGAGGCTTGGAGAAGGGAGTCTAGAGAATTGTACGTTTTTGTTAAGACTTAAGAGAGGGATGAGATTCCATATTTACATTTCTTCAAAGAACATGGTGAACATTTTAAAGATTTAAGGCCAAGTACCCCAGCATCACGTGAGTAAGTGACAAAAGGGATCAGGAACTCAGGGAGGTGGGGTGCTCCATAAATCAGACTGCCTGCCTCCAGGTAAGGGAAAGGGGATCCCTAAAATCCTTTGACATTCTCAAGGAGAGGGTGCTAAACAACCATAAAGTAAAACGCATGCTTTTTCTCATGTATATGTTCACTAAGAAAACTGGAAAAATGCTTAAGTCCCAGCAGTAAGCTAGGACCTTGATCCTGTCCAAAGACTGGCCAGGGGTGGTGTCCCACACCTTTAATCCCAGTACTCAAGAGGCAGAGGCAAGCAGATATTTGTGAGTTCAAGGCCATCCTGGTCTACAAAGTGGGTTCCAGGCCAGCTAGAGTTACACAGTGAGGCCCTGTCTCAAAAATATAGGGGGAGGGGGTTATCAGCCATGATCACATGAGCATTGCAATTTAGTCCATAAAGGGAAAATTTTCACCTGAAGAAGTTACAAACATCCCCTTCTTCTAAGTAAACATTGCATTTCCAGTAGCTTTTATCTCACCTAGCAATCCCTCAAAAGAGATTTATCAAGGAAGGCACTCTCTAATCTCAACACTCAGGAGGCAGAAGCAGGAAGATTCTGTGCTAACCTGGACTATATAGTAAGAACCCAGTGATGAAAAGATAAAGGGAAGAAAAGAAAGAGAGAAGAGAGATGGGGGAGAGGAAGAGAGAGGAGAAGGAGAGGGAATAAGAGAAGGAGAGAAGGGAGCTGGAGAAGGGAAAAGGGGAAACTGACAGAAGGGGAGGGGCGGGAGGGAGAGGAGAGAGGGAAGGGGAGCGGGGAGGACAGATGGATTTACTGAGCACCTACAGGAAACTAGGAACATATAAGACTGAGGCAGCCCCTACTGCAAATATATTTTCTAATTTCACCAGTGTGCAGGAGATGCCTGAATACTGTTCAACTCTTGGAGAATGACAGTTTCCCTAATAATAAAAGTCACAATCCAAGGGTCCAATGATGAGCCTTGCGCAGTAGGAACAGTGAAGCTGGACAGTTAATCCCAGTCCTTTGATCCCACAGTGTGCTGAACTACTAGCTCCAAGCTGCTGAGCCTCTGTAAGAAATGCCCTGGCCACACAGCAGCTCCTATGGCTTGCAAGATTTCATTTTTATTCTTGCACAAGTATCAGGCCTTCACACAGTAGTTTGAATCACATCAGATTTTACTTGTTTTAAACACAGGGTACTCGCTTTACGAACAAACGCACAGCAAGCAAGCTTTGAGAGCTTTCTTGGCCCAACATCAGCATGGGATCCCACAGCTACCCTGAGCCAATGCTGATATCCTCCTCAGCTCTACTTTTAGGAGGAAGAAAGGAACACTGATAATTTAAATGGAATGCCCAGGGGAAAGGGTAATGGCTTTCTTTACAACAACCTCTAGAGAGTGGATTCTACCCTAGGAAAATCATAGAACCCCACAGTGCAGTTTTATACTCACACATGACCCTGTGCTCACCCCTACTTTCACTTCTCTATTTTCCTTATGCATTTATAATTCATATCATCTTTCCGTATTCACAAATGAAGACAAAAAAGAGCATGATAACAACAAAAAGCCAGTAAATGGGAGTCTAAAAGACTCATCCTGCATATTGAGATCCATTTCGTTTTAGCTCTAGATAACTTTCATTGCTACAATACAAAGACTGTCCAGAGGGGAACACAAGCACCTAGCCTGTAACAATAAAAGGATATATCCTCCGAAACCAAGCTGCCATATGTCATATTCCTAACAAGAGAGAAAGGAGAGGGGCCAGGAACTAAGGAAAGCCCTCTGCATGCCAAGCTCAGTAGCAGTCACTCTACAGGGTCTCGGTTGGATGCTGTTAGCTCATGTCACAAGGGAGACTTCTGAGACTTCAAAACGTTACCTGACCCAGCCACAGCCACAAAGCCAGGCAAGCTCTAAGACCTGAACCAGGACCAGCCTGATGCCAGGGCCCAGGTTCTTTCCACAGGCCAACCTTCCAACTGGAAGGGTCCTGGAGGACTGGGCAGATAGCTCATTTAGTAAAGTGGTTACCTCGCAAGTATGAGGACATGAGTTTGAGCCCCAGGACCCACACAAAACTCAAGGTGTGCTAGCACGGGTCTGTAAGCCCAGCACTAGGGAGGTACAGACAGGCGGGTCTCTGGGGTTCACAGACTGTCCAGCCTAATCAGTGACTGCCAGATCAATGAGAGACCCTGTCTCAAATGAGGTACACACCATTCCCAAGGATGATACCCAAGATTATTCTCTGACCCCCACAAGCATAGGCACGTGTACCCATACATATAGACACATAGGAAGAGAGAACTGGGGGAGGAATCCTATGATCCCAGTTCTGGGGAGGAAGAGATGGGAGGATCCCTGGGTTCACTGTTCAAACAATCTAGCTAAATGGTTGAGCTCCTCATCTGAAGAAATGTGGAATATTCCTTTATACTGTGTCAATATATGTTGCTGTGATTGGTTTAATAAAGAAGCTGACTGGCCAATAGCTGAAGAGAATAAAGTTAGGCAAGAGAGCCAAACTGAGAATGCTGGGGGGAAGAAGGGTGGAGTCTAGAGTTGCCAGGAAACACAGAGGGTGCAAGACATGCTGGAGGACATGTAAAGCCATGAGCCATGTGACAATACATAGATTAATAAAAATGGGTTAATTTACATTGTAAGAGCTAGTCAGTAATAAGCCTGAGCTATCCACTGAGCATTTACAATTAATATTAAGTTTCTGAGTGATTATTTAGGAGTAGCCACTGGCACAGGAAAACTCCGCCTACAAAGAAATGAGGTGTTAAGCCACTGAGAAAGATATCTGGTCTCCAGAAGCCAACACAAAGTTAACCCCTGGCTACCACACTCATGCAAATACATGTTGACACACATGAACACATATTCACCTATGCACCACACACACAAAATAAGTTTTTTTAATTTAAAAAAGGATTATGAATATAAACAGTAAGGAATGACATGGAAGCTACTTCTGATATAAGAAAGCAAAATGGAAAACTGTATATAGACTCTCATCCAAAGAATAGAAAAATTATACAAATTGAAATGGAGTCTCAAGGATCATGAGCAGCTAAATATCATTTTAGGGGAAAGCTAAAGTTTTCCAATAAGAAATATACACAGGCTCATTCCTCGTGATAGATTACCAGATTGATTGATGATGGTAGAAAGCCCTAGAAACTGCTTATACCTCCAAAAACATGTGCTGGAGAGAACAGATATGGACGGTCCACAATGATCTAAGACATAACACCCTCTTCATGGGAAACTGCTGGTTCCAAGTGCAGGTACGGAACATAAGCAAATGAGAATCCTGCAGACCTGAGAGTGTGTCCAGCAGTGGGAGGGCACCAGGCCTGGGAGAGCTGGGGTGCATCTGAAACACACTAGCTCTTTCAAGAGAGCCTTTGACTCCGGAGGCCAACAAAGCAAGTCAACTCTGGCCACGCTAACTCCTGATTTACATCAACTATGAAGATTTCACCAGCAAACTGTGAGAAAAGAATACCACTAGCTGGCCGCTGAGGGGGCCAGCCACGCCAAATGACAATGGCAACACGGATTAGTGAATGCCACGCCAAATACCTAAAAGAAAAACTCTAGCTGGAAGCAGACTTCCATCTGACTGCTTGAACTGAAGCTGGCTCCCTCCCCAGGCCTCACAGGGAGATAAACCTCTAATTGGCAAATTAATCTACTACAAGCCTAACCTTTTTCCTTATACTGGATTTCGGTCAAGTAGTGACTCATACAAGTCTCTTGAAAAAACACAGGGTAGATCCCCGGCAAAGAGAGGGGGATGGGGAGAAAAGAAGAACTGTGAGTAGACACCAGCTTCTCTCGCCGAGATTAAGCAACAGGGAAACATTCAAATGCACCAGGCCCATAAGACACGCTGTTAGAGTTTCAAGTAAAGGGGTTCCAGAATTAGAGCCGATACTTACTTAAGCAGCAAGTATACTTCTTAAAGGAGAAACTTCTAGTTCATGTCAGTAAGATTCCTGAGGACACTGTGGTTGCATCTTTGAACACAGAGCATGTCACCATGATAGAAAAACAAGGTCAGAAAAGCATTTATATTAACCAAAGGAACAAAGAAAGGTAAGTCTGGATTGTGAACTTAAACAAAGGCAGTCAAGGAAATAGAAAATAAACAGTGAAGAGAAGACAAACCAGATCTTTAAGATGGGAAAACCTATATTTAAAGGCTCTCACCCCTGCACAGGACAGGCAAACACAAGTCCTAGTAGGAAGAAAGCTGTAAATGATGCCACATGCCCATAATCCCGAGCTCAGGAGGTACAGACAGGAGGATCAAAAGTTCAAGGTCATTCTCAGCTAATGGCAAGTTTGGTGTTAGCCTGGATTACACGAGATTCTGTATAAAAGAAATCTATTTTTACATGAAAGAAAGAAATGATCATCATCA